TTACCCCACTGTTATTACATGCACTGTGATATGTTTCATGAATAATCTTTGGCTATGCTGTGTAAAACTGCTAACGCTGTGTTTACGTCCTATGTTTCATCCAGGGTTACCTCCCAGAGAGTATGTTTGACAGGATCCTGACAGGACCCATCGTTCCTGAGGAGGTGAGTAGGCGTGGACGTCGACCTAAGAATCCTCTGGCCAAGGCGGCAGCGGCGGCGGCGGCGGCAGCACCCAACACAGCAGCCTCTGCCCTCGGTCTGAACCCCCTGCTGGCCAATGGCCTCCTCTCTGGAATGGACCTCACCAGCCTGCAGGCCTTCCAGCAAAACCTCCAGAGCTTACAGTCCCTGCAGCTCACCGCAGGCCTGATGGGGCTGCCGTCCGATGCTAGCAACCTGGCTGCAAGCAACCTAGCTGCCATGTTTCCCATGATGCTGTCGGGTATGGCTGGATTGCCAAACCTTCTTGGCATGAGCAGCTTGCTTGGGAAGCCTGCTCAGGAGGGCACAGGAAGCTCGGAGGAAAAGACAAAGGGAACCACCAGCGGTGTAACAGGAGAGCCGTCTGCCTCTAAAGCCCCTTCTCACACCTCAGACACCAAAGGAGAAAGGACAGAGGGCTCGAACGCGACTCCTTCCTCAACTTCCAGCTCCAGTTCCTCTGCCACCGCCCCACAAAGTGCTTCAGCTGCCTCTGCAGCCTCCAGTCACCCACTGTCTCTTAACCCCTTGTTACTCTCCAGTATGCTTTACCCAGGGATGCTTCTCACTCCAGGCCTTAACCTTCCTGTGTCTGCCACACAGCCGCAGAGCTCAAACAGTGACCCCACCCTTCCTCCTGCTCCTCTTCCTCCTCAGCCTGCAGCCTCCAAGTCATCGCCAAGGGAGACAGAGCAGCCAGCAGCAGAGAAGGACGGAGAGGAGGAGGATGAGGCGTTAGAAGAAGCTTTGGATGAAGAAGAAGAAGAGGAGGAGGAGTCAGCAGAACAAAAAGAGAACAGTGGTCCTGAAGGTTCGGGGAAAGCCGAGTCATCTTCATCAGAGTCTGGGAGCTCTTCCTCATCCTCAGATGATTCAGACTCCAGTGATGAGGACTGATCCTATGAATATATAATTATAAATTTATTTATGTATTGCCTAGAAATGTATACATATATTCACATATATATGGATTTTCCAGCACTTATGTTGCGATCGATTTCTTTACATGTAAATACAAGAACTAACTAAAATGTTGTGTAATAAAGACGACAAAAACCTCAAAAAAAGAAAAAAAGAAAAAACTGACTTAAAAGGAACTGAAATAAAATTTCAGTGTTTGTTCACAAGGTACAGTCTTGTTTTGAGACATTTTGCATGTCAGACTTTAGTAGATTTCTGAACTCTGTGAACTTGTACCACACGATTATGTACAATTGCAACAAAAAAGGCATTATTGTAATTATGTCAGGATTTAATTTTATTAAAAAAGTGAAACTACATCAACATGCTCGTTGAGCTGTACTATTAATATATTTTGATTGTTGGGGGTTGGGGGAATGACACTTGACAAACACTTTGGTTTCTCTTGTAAATATTCAGTACTTTTACAGGTTCGTTGACACTTATGCTTTGCAGATCATACGTTGGATATGTCAGCAATAACTTGGGCAGCTAATGAATGTCACTGAAGCTGTAGATTCTCTGTCTGCCATGTTCGACCCTAGTGCACAACTCACGCAGCCTCACCTACCTGTCACTTGGTTCATTTCCTACATTTGTTCCTCATCCATTTTGGAGACAGAATTATCTGAAGCCCCTTCTTTAATATCGCTTCAATTTTGGGGGAAATCTGTATAAGTATTATTTTTATTCAATCAAGAACATAAGCTTAAATCCTTCAAAATGGATCATTATTTAATTCTGTGATATGTTTTGAGGTTTCATCTTTCACATGGATATCTTCATTTTCACCATCACCTTACAAACATGTTCCAACATGTCCAAGGCGCACTTTAGCTACCCACAGTAGGCATACATGTTCACTTGCACGTCTGTTGATTTTATTTTTATTTTTTTTCCAGTGTCAGAGTCTAACAAACTCCTTGAGCTGTGGGAACAGAAAAACAACCTTTTACTGTGTGCCAAAAACTGCCCTTTGACCCTCTGAGGTCCTGACAGAGTTTTGTGGTCTCTGTTTAGTAGAGAAGTTCAGGATTCTTGATGACATGGATATTATTACTACAGCCCCGGCGTATTTGACTGCATCTTACCTCAACTGTGCTCAATGGATTGGCTTCACTGTGCAAATGTACATGTGCATGGGTGTGTTTTCGTGCTGTCCATGTACACAGTGTCCTTGTCTGCTGGAATGTGTGTGTCAGAGGCCTTTTTCTTTTTTTTTTTACTTAGAGCTTCCACTGTGTTTTGTTTGGCTGGGCTGCTCCTCTCACCTGGTATCTACTGCTTCCATAACTTCCCAATCTGAATGTTGTGCATTGAGGAGGGGGGCCTTGTAAGCTATGACTAGTGGAAACCACATTACAAGTGTTTTTGACCTTTTGAACACCACTCATTACAAATTTGGAGGAAATTTTCATGTTGCATGACCACCTGTCTACCAAAGTCTTACAGAAGTTACACGGCACAAGCACAAAATAGTTCAAGTCCTGGCTAAGATTGTAGTAATTGTCATCGTCTTTGAGTATTAAATTTTACACAGTGCCAGATGGGCTAGCTTTAGGAAGGGCTCAATAATAGCAGCTTGTGTCGCTGGAAGTTTGCAGCGTTGTGTGTATTTCACTTCGTCCTTGACTCTGTTCTGCTGATGAATGGAGCTTCAGCTAGATGTAGAAGTGCCCTTATCCTGTACCTCACTCTCTCATTCAACTTCTGTCTGACAAAGCAACCTGCTCAGATTCCTGCTCCATGCTCGTGCATTTTGTTCATCATCGCTGTACATGTTCATTTTAAGCTGTAACACTGGAGTTCACTCAAGCCGAAGTACCTTTTGTAATTTTCTCGAGCACAACAGTGCTTGCTCTAGGACTGCTGTTACACAGTGGACTGTTAGATACACATTTCAAAAATAATTTCTGAGGTGAGGTCTTTGTTTGGACTGGGGGGGGGGGGGGGGGGGCGACAGAGTGCTCCTCCTGTGCTGGAGAAACCCACTGAAATAACTCAGTCTGTTTAGTTCTTACGTATTGCTGTAGCATTGTTCTTTGGTGGGTCAAACCATGAACAACCCCACGGTCTGAACACAAAGACTAAAGACATGTCTGAGTTCTGATGTTGCTTTAAATTGGTTTTCTTGTATGCCTGTTATATATATATAGACCTCGTCATGGGTTTGCTTGCAATGCAATTGCATTTTTGTTTTGATTTTTTATTATATTACTACTAACAGTACGGTATTTTTCTATGTCTGAGCAATGAACTTAAACATGCCACTGTCATTTTGTATATCTGCACCTCTGCTCTCTTTAAACTTGTAGTGCCCTTATGCAAACACCCAGCCATTGCTACTTCTGCTGTAGGTGACTGATCTAATGAATTTTGCTACTTTTTGTTGCCCCACAGTGATGGGTTGATGGATTGATGACTGTGCTGAGCCTCTTTAGGACACAAATGGCAAAAATGGTAGACATAAGATTGGGGTTTTTGCTTTACTATTGCTATTCTCTTTTTTTTTCCCTCAGTTGTACTGTACAAGGACTCCCAAAGCACTGCTAGTGCTAGAGAAGCAGTGTTAAACCTGCGACACACACACACACACACACACACACACACACACACACACACACACACACACAACACAGGCACCACACACACACACACACACACACACACACAATGACCAATATGCAAGAGGAATGACAAAACACACTACTGCTGTACAGGGAGGTTTTCGTTCAGTTTTCATACATGTAATCACTGAGATGACAAAACTAGCATCATTGGTTTTGTATTTTTATTTCAAGCTTGATAATATCCTAAATGTCACCCTGGTCAGTTTTTGTCTTGTTTTTTTTCTTTCATTGGAAAAGTTGTAATATTTGCAAGTTGTGGTCTGTGTAGTCAAAATAATTCTTTATGTAGTGCAGGAAAACGCGTCTTAAAAGTCATTTGTAATTTATTGGATTACTTTCTATGAAGTTCTATAGAGGAAATTGAGGTTTAATTATTTTTATTAAACATATTCTTCTGACTATCCATAAAGTGTGCCTTTGCCTGTTGCTTTGTCTGGGGAACTTATTCAAGACATCATCAATACCAGGAACTTTCTGGCACTTTTTCTCCTCTGAACAGCTGAACACTTTCCTCACATCTATATACTTATTGTTCTACTCAAAGTGACATTGTTCAGGTCAGGGAACAAACCTTTCTTATAGTGGCACAAAATAAACTGTATCCGCTTCATTTTAGCCAATTGAACCCTTTACTGTAGTAGTTCTTTTCTCCTTCCTCCCTACTTTTCTTAGTTAAGATAGTTCCTTTTTAATCAAAGTGCTAAAGTTACAAACCGAACGACACTATTTACTAATATGAAATAAATATTCAAAGTACAAATAGTGACATGAAGCACTGTAGGGTTCTTTCAGTGCTACTTAGAGCCACTGTAACTGCACATTGACTACATAAGTACTACATGAAAAAAACTTTTTCTTGACAAATGTTATTTATCCACTAACTCTTAAATGTGTCTAGAGTCACATCAGTGGTTAATGTTAACACATTGTTTGCACAGTATGTTGGCAGCTTCTTATTACAGTGCTGGATAAAGGATCTGTTGAACTTTTTTCCAGTTTTCTTTGCCAGCATTCTCAGGTTGGTAAGCTTGTGCTTGAAAAATCCAGTGTCTTGTAAGAAGTCAGTACATTAACAGTTATAAAGTTAAAACAAAGGGTTAACAGGTTTGTCCTCTCTACTGTAAGTCCTCCATTCCTCCTCTGGGTGGCACTTAGAGTAAGTCACCACCACCACTGCTCAGTGCTTATCATAGCAACCAGACACAGATGACAAGTTGGGGCTTGTCTGCTGACAGAGGCCAATGGGCTGAACTTCCTCAGGCTGCAGAGCAGCAGGTTGCCTGTACTAAACCATGCTGTACCTCTCCACTGCTACCAGCCGGACATCAGAAAAACACACGGGGGACTCTTAGACCAGCAGACCCTTAGTCTGGCTCCTGAAACCTCATCATAACCCGGTAAGTAATCTGTTCATGAGTTGCTACAGGCAGTCAAACGTTTAACATAGATGAAATAACAGATGCAATACAACTGCCATGAAATGTCAGCTGACAGTTCCAATCAAAACGTAACACTGACATCATCTACTTCTGTATAAGCTTTGACTAAAAGCAGCAGGACAGACCGACCCTCCAAATTCAGTAGCTGACTATGTTAAACAGCTCGATTGGCCAGGACTCGATGCACTGAACAATAAAGTTTATTGATGATCAAAAACAAAATGAATCCATAAATCGTCACTTTGTCACTTGTTTACCACGTGTCTGAAAGTGAAAGTAAGGCCTAGTTTGATTTAACTTATGTCAGTGAAGGCCAGTCTGGAGGAAACAGGAAATGGGTGTGACCCAAATAAATTGGAGACAGATTAAACATTTTTTACAATGCATATTGATTTGTGATTTGTTACAAAGTTTCCAGCCAAATCAAAATACCAAACACACATAATATAATATAATATAATATAATATAATATAATATAATATAATATAATATATATATATATATATAATGCACTGACAAGTTGTTTTATAGTGTCATCAAAGACAAAAGACGGAGTGAGATAGGCAATGAAGCATAACAGATTTAGGCAAGTCAGAAAATAAATGTTTTAGTCCAGTTTATAACTTTCCTCTACTGCTGACAGACTTTCCTCTGTCCTGCACTTTCCAGCACTCATTTGTAACGGCACATAGTATCGATCTGGTGTCAAAGGAGGATAAACACTTCAGACATTTTAGTGCATGGGCAGGGCCTGGAGGTACAACAGGCTACAGTATGATTCATTTGTACGAGGAGCTGCATGCAAACTGATACTTCCAAGTTCCTGTTTCTCAGTATTAGTTGTAGGTGTTGTCTTACTTCAGAGAAATGTTTGATCTCACACCTGCAGCTGTGGAAATGAGTCGGAGAGAATAAGTACAAGTTTTTCTTGTCATTTACCCAGCAGTTCTCCCTCCACGTGGACCATACTGTAGATAGACCAGACACTGGTTACTTTAAGTCTGTCAGAGGTATCTTTTATAAATGTGCCAGTCCTGCTTCTCTCACTATTTTAGTGACTAAGCTGACTCTTGCAGTGGAAAAACCTGGTGTTAGACCAACAGCTGAAGAACCTATGATCTCATTTGAACCCAAAATGATTTAAACAATGAAATGGAATGGAGAGATAAAAGGATCTAGATAAATGAGCTGCAATAATGATCAATAAATAATGATCAATAAATAATGCCATTAACAGTTTTATCTAGATCAGCACCAGATAAAAAAGCCCTTATCTTGGAAATGTTTCAAGATAAACAAATGATTTGGGATTAAACCTCTCAATTGAGCATTAAAACAAATGTCAGAAAAAAATTACGCGCAACTATTTTGATAACTGATTAATAGTTTGAGTAAGAAATAATAATACCAAACATTACCTAACACCAGCTGTTCTGTGGGGATTTTCAGCTTTTCTGTGTTCTAAATAATAAATAATAGAATATCTATATTTCAGACTGTAGGTCAGACAAGTATTTTCTGACAATTTATAAATCAAATGATATATCTCTTTATCAAGAAGATATTTTTGATAATGATATAATATCCTCTGAGTTTTGAATACAACAGAGTAGAGATGTGTGTATTTAGACTGTTTCAGCTCTGAGGCCCCTTTTTCCTTTGACATAAATGCTAATTCCTGAAGTGTGTTGTTGGTGAGAATACCAGCCTGTGTGTGAGTGGACTGGGGCGTGTTTACAGTTAAAAAAAAAAAAAAGTCAGGTCAGCTGTTTAAAATAGACAGCTAAACTGACTGTAACTTTTCCAACATATCCTAAATAAAGAAAATAACTGGCAGGCTCAGACTTCATTTGGAAATATCTTCTTTTTTTTTTTTTTTTTTTTTTTTTTTTAAAGAAGTCTGAAGACGTGATGGACTGGCAAATATGAGATTAACTGTCACAAAATAAGTTCAGGTTCATTTGCCACAAAGCCATGCTGTTTCTCTGAAATGGTGTCCAACCCCATATAGACTTACAAGACATTACAGGGATTAGTGGCAAAAACTATAAAAATAAAACACACGTTGTGAACCAAAATGAATTATGATAAAGATACACAATCACTGTTCAATCCTTCCCCACCTTCTGTATCATACCTCTATCTGCTTCCTTTATACAAACTGTCAACTTCTGTTTTTGTTCTCTGTATCTCTCTCTCTCTCTCTCTCACACACACATCTCTCTCTCTGTCTCTCTCTTTCTCACACTCACTCACACACTTACACACACACACACACACACACACACACACCTATCACCACATGTCATCTGCATACACTGTAGACAGAGGTCTGTCTGCCTCAGTGAGGATAGTTACCCAGAATGATAAACGGCACATGTGGGAATCATTAGAGGAACAGAGTTTCCATTCAGGCAGGAGAGTGAACACACACACACACACTGATTGAAGTGGTTGAGGTAGAGCAGGGGCCTCTACCAGTGGATGAAGGAGTATTAAAATCTTTTGCTTAAGTAATAGTACCAACAGGCCTACAACATTGTAAAAATACCCCGTTGTAACACTTGTTACACTGTAAAAGTGTTACAACAGGGCAAGAGAGATGACGCATGACCTCTGTGTCTACATCACGCGCAATCATTTTTTCACATTATACAATCTGGTACAAAAACTCCATAAATGGAAGCTGGAAAAGAACATAACTCAGTCAGTTCAGCCTAAAATGATCTCACTTGCTGTTGTCCTCTTAATGCTGTTGTTGAGTCCTTACTGGAACGTGCACTGTCACGCTAGGCTTAGTCTTTGTTTAATTATTCTCGTTGCTTGCCACAGAAACAAATGTTCTCTGGCATCTAAAATATTCCTCTTGTTGCACGCTCAACATGACAGCTCAGTCAACAGTCACCATTTTCTAACTGACTAAACAGTAAACTTTAGAAATGTATAAGTTGCCTGCCAGGGTGATGCTGTAGTCCATGTTTGTGAAGTTAACAGTAGCTAGCAGCATCTTTTAACAGTTACATTAGGTTAGAAGGAATAGTTTTACATTTTGAGAAAAATGTTTCCTCACTTTCTTTTTGAGTTTCATCAGAAGATTGATGCCCCTCTTATTTCTTTACACTAGATGTAAAGCTACAGCTAGCAGGGGGTTAGCTGCAATGACAAGCTCGATCTGTAACATATTTTTAAAAAGAAACTCAGGACCTATCTTTTCAATCTGGCACAGCCTAGCTCTGTCCAAAGCCCAAAGACATACCTGCTAGCACCTCTAATCTATATTAAATAACAAGTTTTTTTTTTTTACGTATGCAAACAGGAATGTAAAAAAATGAAGAAGTATTGGTTATGTGGGGAATTACGTGTTGTAACTATTTCTTATACAGCAAATAACTCTCTTTAATACCACTATATGGTTATATGAATTTGTCTTTGTGTTCAAATGAAAACAAACTACAGATAACAGGTAAATTAGAGAGTTAAATGTGCGAATAGGAAGATTTTTGAGCTGGCAAGGCTAGCTTTTTCCCATTAGCATCCAGTCTGTATGCTAAAATGAGCTAAGCTGCAGTCTAACAGTCTTCTGGCTGTAGCTTCATATTTAAAGTACAGACATGAAAGTGGTATCTCTTCTAGCCCAGGGAAGTAAGAAAATAAGTGTATCTCCCAAAATGTCAAGGAAGGCTTTTCAGAAAACTATGAGTGATATCACAGACACCACCTTCATGTCTTTTACAGTCTGTGGTTTTGGTGCAAGAAACTGTTTTTAGAGGCAGTTCATTTAATAAGCATGACTGTTTTCATTTGGCCTAGTTTCTTATAAAGTGGTATTAGACTGAATGAAAATAAGACACATTTAACCATGTATCCATTTATTTCTCTATTTTTATGAATTATTTAAGTAGTTTAATGACTTAAGTTATTGACTGACTGCAGTGCAGTGTTTTCTGCGCCCTGATCGTCTCTTAGTGTTTCTTATCTAGGTGTCCATTCCTGCTCTGACTCTCATCCTGGGCAAGTGTGAAGGTCACCATGGCAACCGAGCCTCAGGACAACCCGCAAAAGCCAAGGTTTGGCCCGAGTGACCGCCTGATCACTATGTTCAGGTTAGTGCTACAGACTCACAGTATTACTCATACCGTGGCCATTTTGTTTGTCTTATCTGTACAGATTATGTTATTATACAGCAAAAACTGGCTCACACACACTATAACTGTTAGTTACCATAAACTGCAACAGTTTTGAGATATTTTATCAGTGTCACATCGTCTTTGTTGAGAGCACTGTCTCTGTAGTACTACTGCAATATTACTCCACCTAACTCTTACATGCTTGCAAGGTTTTGTCACTTACCATAAAAAGGGCTACTCACCGTTTTCAACATCTGGTGTGTTATTGGTAAAGGGTACAAAGGGTGGGGTTTACATAGAGACAAAGTTTTGTTTCACTATGTGTAAACATTTAGTTGAGGTTTTGGTGCACTTTAAATTCTTTGAGCTCATGGCCTTGTATTTACTTTTCAAGCGTTTTCCAACCAACAACTCCAGTACATTTTTTTATCCTGGTCCCATTCCTGCTTTGATTCCTCTGATTCAGGGCCTGCTCCAGAGATCCAACCGAGGCAGTTAAAGCGAGACTAAAACGTATGCTGCACATGTTTCTGCTACACCACTGGAGCAATGTGGGAAATGAGACCAAAGGTATGCGAACATATTCAATGATTTAACAATTGGAAGAGGAGAAAGTCACTTAAATGTTGGAGTTGAATGCATTATGAAGGCACTTCATTCCACTTCATGGAAACCGTGTTACCTTATGTTCAATATTTCTGGAGGACAGAGGATAATGGCCATCACAGTATTACTAGTTTATAGCCCAGATTTTTATCATGGGCAATGGCAAGATTGCCCAGATAGGTACACAACAGACCACATCTATAACCAGAATATTCACTTGTACTATCAGAAGCAACAATGTGCCTTTGAGCAAGGCAGGAAACCCCTGTCTACTCACATACAGAGCCTTATATCCCCTCGTGATTAGAGAGCAGGTTATTTTATAGCAATAGGTATCAAACTTGTGACTGACACATGTCACTTATAATACATGTGATATTGTTCACAGAGATGGCAGTAAAGTGTTGCTGTGAGGCCTCGGTCTGGTATTACAAGATCCTGGAGAACCTGGTCAGTCAAGAGAGGAAAAGGCTGGCAGTCAGTGACATCTCAGTGAGTGTACTGCCCTCCTGTGGCCACATCTTGAATTGCTGTTGAGGTTTTGTTCCCACCAGGGGCACCATATGAACAATCACAAAGTGGTACAGCATGTGTCAATACATGTTTATATACCTCTTGAGCCTTTTTAAAATCAAAGTTTTGATCTCTATTGATTCTTTTTTACATTTTTGTTCTGAAGTAAAACACCTGTGATGTGCATGTGTTTGTTGCAGGGCATCTTGGAGATTGATCTGATCCAGTGCTGTCTGGTGGCCTGTTGTCTAGAGATTAGCATCTGCTCCAACCGTCTACCATGTGATTTCCCTCTGCTCCTTCAGATCTTAAAGATGGAACCATACCACTTCTGGAGGGTGTGTTTCCCAGCTTGTTAACTTGATTTATATTGTATGCATAGAGTTTGTGTATACCTGTATGTGTGTACATGTTTAGAGAGTGGCAGTCCCACACCTTTTTGCAGATAGTTTAGCATCTGATCTGGGATTTGAATCAGCGACAAAAAAAAGAGTGACAGCCATGCCCCCGCTGACTTTGACAGTTGCTTTCCTGTGCTGTGACAGGTGATTGAGCTGGTTCTGCGTGCTGATGCGGGATTGCCTCACACTGTTGTCAGACACCTCGCCCAAATGGAACATAAAGTTCTGGAGAGCTTGGCCTGGACCAGCAACTCACCGCTGTGGGAGGAAATCAGAGCCAACAAGGGCCATCTGCCTACCTGCCAACAGGTTGGCAAGAGCACACAAAAACTCTTTACCTGGCATCAGGGGGTTATTTAAGATTTTATACTCAAGGTTCTCTCAAGGTGACATTAATTTCTGAGTAAGATTAAATTACAAATATGATTACATTTTTTCTTTCCTTGGAACAGTATGACTGTGGATCATTATCAACACATCAAAAGTGCTACCGTATTTCTTTACATTTGCTCATTTGGTAGATGCTTTTATCCAAAGCAACTTACAAGTGAGGGACAAACACGACACAAAAGCTTCAGTGCCATAGTAGACCTTGGTGTAAATACTAAGTACTACGTCTATTCAATAAGCTGAAGTGCAAGAAGATCAGGTATAGAAGTGCATTGAAAGTGCATAGTAAGTGCTTGTCAGGCATGTTAGGGTGTAAGAGGTGTTAGGAGAGGAGGTGCTCTCGAAAGAGGAGTCATCAAGAGATTCTTGAAGATACAGAGGGGCGCCTCTGCTCTGATAGCGTTTGGTAGCTCGTTCCACCATCGCGGGGAACCACAAGCGAGAACAGCCTGGACTGTTCAGACTGAGACTGCCTTGTGTGCAGGGAGGTCAATACCAGGCGACATTCCTTGGAGGAGCATAAGCCTGTATGACGGAGTTCAAGTAGATGGGTTCAGGCCTAGAAGTCAGTCTGAAGGCAAGCAATAGTGACTTGAATTTGATTCGGGAAACCATAGGCAGCCAGTTGAGGTCAATGCCCTTTTAGGCGGATCAAAGACCAGACACACTGCCGCATTCTGGACCATCTGCAATAGCAGTAGTTGAAGCACACATATGTGGCTTTAATGTGAGCTTTGTGTCATATGTAGGTGACGCCTCCTGCATGGCTTGAGGATCCAAAGAAAAAAGACTTGCAACCTGACCCAAACCTACCAGGAGGTATAAACTGTGTATTAAATGTCTTCTTTTATTACATTATTGTTGTAATTCTATCACATTTAACACACTATTAATACATTCCTCAATTTATTAAACTCCTTAATTGCAAATTGGTTACAGTATTCTTACTATCGATTGACTGATCAGTTCTGTTTTTGACAGTGGATGTCATTTTGAAAGCTGACCTTTCTGCCGGCACTGACCAACAGAGTTCCCCATCAGCTGTAAACAGGCCCCAGGGGAGCAGCTCCCTCCATCTGTTTGCTCGCAAGGTCAGTTGATCTACCACACCAAAACAGGCTGTTAGTGTGTAAAATGATATTCTCTTCCATGGCTCCAAATAACAGTTACCATATGTTTATTGTGGTGATGTTTTCTTTTTGCCTCAGGTTTACAGCTTGATGGGCAGACGTCTCAGGGAGCTGTGCTCCACACTGGACATTTCTGATGAGCTGCGGTTGAAGATCTGGACCTGTTTTGAGTACTCCCTAGTCCACTGCACCCACCTCATGGTAGACCGTCACCTGGACCAAATGCTCATGTGTGCCATCTACATTATGGCTAAGGTGGGCTTTGATATATCTAAGGGAGGTCTCAGCATTTATAATGATCATAAACATGTGGTATATATGCAGGGATTTCCTTTGCAAGTGTCTGTGTTTAGGGGCAATTATGATTTTTTTTTTTTTTTTAAAAAGAACCAAACAAGTTTTTAAAGGTTAACCTTGTTTACAATACACTTTGAAATTTGTCTGACTGTTGTGGTATGCTGTCCTGATGTGGTAAATTTCACCTGCATGAATATTTACTAAACCATGCAGATGTTTTTAGCAAGGCAGACAATGTTGGTGTTGATCATGTGACAACGGGTTGGAAATACAACAAAAAATATATAGGCTTGTTGTAATTCAGTAACTTCATATTCTCACATACTTACTGCATATTTCTTTTCATTGATGGTGCAATAATGTTGATTTATTAATATCTCCACTGTCAAAATAAGGAGCACAGTGAAAACACCAATTACTTTCTCTTTTATTTGTTCTGCTATTACACTGTAACCCGTTACAGAGTGTTCAGTACTCATCAATGTCATTATCTCACTGTAAGAACTGACTTGGTTGACTTTGTATTATTAAACATATTGTATTAGTATTAAAGGACATCTTAAAGAGACTCACAATATAACAATAACAATTATATTGTTATATTATAACAATATAAAATACCAGATGCAGCACTTTTTCCTTTAATAACAACCTACATACATAATCAATGATTAATTTATGGTTATTTGCTTTTACAGATTACCAAGGTGGAGATACCATTTAAGTGCATAATGAAATGCTACAAGTCTCAGCCACACACCAGTAAAAGTGTAAGTGTTTTTTTTAGGTTATTCCTGTCATCTCTTAAGTATACAAGTGGATCAGCTCTGAATTAACAAAATAATAGGATATGACTGTTAAGACTGTGTCCCAAGCCATGTGACAATCAGTCTCGTAATCAGATGTAAACAGTAGACAAATCTGTTGAGTGTGTTTGAAGTTGTGTTGTGTGTTATGGCTACATTACTTATATTCATGAACAGACTGTTTCTGTCCTCAGGTCTGCAAAAACGTGCTGATTTCAGGAAGCGACATGGAAAATGCTCCCACTGAAAACAGTAAGATGCCCTTTAGTAAAAAAAAATTGAATAAATGCATGTGGAAGTAACTATGGAATTAGCACATCCTCTGATTACCAAGAGATAAACCAGTCAGCAAGGTTGACATTAGATAGTAAAATACAGTATGGTACAGGGCAATCGGAATTACACAGATTTACAAATACACGTCAACATAAATATAGTAAATATACTGTAATTGTGCCTGTTTATTTAGCCTTTGAGTTACTAATGGATTGTTTTACTTGAGATTTCTAATAGAGCATAAACGATGCTAATTTGGTAACAGATAAGACTTGCTTTGACTTTGTTATTGCTGTGACATAGATCCGCCCTGTTTGCCCAAATGAAACACTTCATCTTTCACAGCCACAGGAAAACAAGTTGATTAATTAAACCCGTGATTAAAGCATAAATTGCCTCATAAACATCAGCAAAGCCTGCTGTACATCAGAGGCTTGACTCACCAACATCAATAGCATTTTGTGCATATTTCTTAGTACATAGATTAAAAATGCTAATTTTCCTTTATCTATGTCGCCACCATGTTACCTTTAACTGAACCTCCTCTTTATACAGCAAATCTATGGTCAGCCATAAATCATGTATTAGGTAGCTGAAGAGCAATTCTTCATTGCATACAAAAATGGGACACATAAAGTAAAGTAACCACAATAATTTAAAACATATTACTTGCATGATATCAGTAATGATGTAATTTCAAGATTAGGAGTGATTTATTTTATTAAATATATGATTGCTTACAGATTATGGAGACCACAGCAACAGTATCCCAACTCCCAACACACCATCAACACATTATCCAGGACCCTCTGAGGAGCAGAGGGGTAATCTTATCTACTTTTACAACCAGGTCTACACGACCAAGATGCAGCATTTCGCCAAGCAGTTTGCCCCGACCTCTAAGGTAAGTGAACCATTTCAGCTGACCAAACAGAACAAGAGGAGAAGGTCACAAGCTGAGGTCCCAAAATGTTGTAATATACTGTAATACTCTATCTCTTAAGACTGGATTTTCTAACACAAGCTGTGTCACTTTTTTGCAGGGTGATACTCCTCCTTTGTCTCCATACCCCCAACCGATGAAAGCATCTCCTAACAGACACCAGTTGTGCAGAAGCCCCTCCATCTATCTTTCCCCATTCAACCCTGAAACCCTCTCACCTCGCACAACCGGGCTGTGCTACTATTTCAACTCAAGTCCTCCGGAGGTCTATCTACGGATATGTTTGTCATTGTTATCTTCAAATTATATCACTCTGTGCGTGATTGTGACTGAAGATTTCCCTCCTGTTTTCACAGCGTCTGCGTGAGATCAACAACATGATCAAAACAGGCAGGTCACCCAACAGGCGAGGGTATGTGGTATCACTGAGCGAGGAGGAGGAGGAGGAGGAAGGAGAAGATGGTCCTTCAGCAAAAAGGCTTCGTTTGGATGATCAGTCGGCCTGGCAGAGACGACTGAGGAACGTGGTGAACGATCGTGTCACGACAAGGAACCAGGACCAGCCAGCTCCAGTTAAAAAGCCTAACCTGCACTAAAGCAGAGAGGAGCATGAAGTCTCTCTCTGCTCCTGTTTCTGAAACTGTAACAACAGTGTCAGGAGTCAGAGGAAAAGCACCGAGCAGCTTTGTCTGCCTATCTGTTAAGAATTCCTTGGGGCCAAGTTCTTTGTCAGCTCAAAGTGTTGTCTGCAGTCTGAGCTAAAATTACACCTTTTTTGCTCTGCACTATTTTTGACACCAACGATACTGTCAAGGTGTCCTTGACTAAAGCACTTAACCTCCAGCTCATTGGCCAATGGTAGAAGATTGTGGTCGTACAGGGCAGCTCCCAGTTGGAGGTGTACGGTGTTGTGTGAATTTGAAGTGGGACATGGCTGCAAAGTGCTCAGTCGACTTTCTGTAGGTAAATAAAAAGGGGGCAGTTAAAACTGCTTTCTTGAATATATTTTTAAAAAATTTAAAAGGTGGTGGAATAGTGAAACATGATTTTTTAGTTCCTCACAGGAATAAAGTTTGAGTGTTAGCATTAAAACTATTCAGACAGATTTGTGAAACTAAAAAAGATCTGTTTGAATAATGCCTTCACACCCCATCATCTGAGCCAGCTAGTACTGTTTTTAACTGTTTCACTGTTTTCATCAGCCTATCAGTCAAAAAACTGTACAGTGGACATTTATTAAAGTGCCATTTTCATGTTCATCTGTTGAACAGACTCTATATTATGTTATTATTAAACATGTGTGTATATACAAGCACTATTTGTGAAATCACAACTTGTTTGGCAGCCAATCATGGTCCAGTATTAAACTTAAACAAGTGTGATTGATGTGGAAATACATATATTTTTTTGTGCATATTCTATATTCTGGACTTTTCTAACTAGATAATTAAAGATAGGAGTGTGTCAATGTTCAATGAAATATATTTTATATGTCTGGGATTTAATAAACTGGAAAAAACAACTGTCCAGTGTAATAAGTCTTGTAAGAGTTGAAACTGTACAATGGCAGTCAGAAAAAAATATCCAGGGCACTCTGATTATATATGTGAAACAAAAAATCCTTTATTTATATATGGACACACCAATACGTTTCAACTCACAGAGTCCTCATCAGGGCATATGTCTCGTATCTTTTTAAAAGAAGGGAAAGTGAAATAATTTCCATGTATTCTTAAAAGAGTCACCGTGAACAATTTTATAAAAGCAATCAGTGACAAATAAAAGAAAATGGTCTTCTTCAAAATTATTATTAATTAGCAACCCCTGAATTCTAAGTTCATAATTCAGAATATCTTCAAAATTGATGCAAATGAACAAATTTTCTAATATAATAATCAGAATACAAATGTACACAAAATGTACCCCAGACACACTTATTGGCATGAAAATAGTCTCACGAAAAAAAAAAGAAGACTCACTTTTGTTTAAGTCTCAGTCTTTACATGGCTTGAATTCAGCAAATGAATGGTGAATGATGGTTTTACAGCATAAAAAAGGATGTGACACTAAGAAGAAACTCAATGACAGAAGTCTGCGATTGAGGAAAAAACAGCCACAGCTGGTTTATGAGAAATGAAATGAAACCCATAAGGAAAAGAGCAGCCTTCCTACAGTAAAACATGGTACAGGTTCTATCATGCTGTGGTGCTGCTTTGCTGCCTTTGGTCCTGGAGGCACTCAATGTATCAAAGGAATGATGAAATCAGAGGATTACCAAGACATTTTAGAGTTAAATGTGTCACCCAATGTCAGAAAACTAGGTTTGAGGCGAACGTCTTGGGTCTTTCAGCAGAACAACGGCTCATAGCACGCAGCAGCACAAAAGAATGGTTGAAAAGGAAAAGATGTTTTAAACTGGCCACTAATGAGTCCTGACCTAAATCACACCTTTGGAGAGAGCTGAAATCTGCCATTGCAAAAAGGACTCCTGCAAACTTAAAAGAGCATGAACATATACTGTAGCAATGGAAGAGAAACTACCAGCAGATAGGTGTAAGAAGCTTCTAGATGGCTTCATGAAACGCTGCAACCAAATATTAATGAAATGTCCCAAAATTGTGTCCGTATGCGTTTGTATTTCTATTATTTCACATTATGAAAGTGTTTTTCTTTTGTTCTTTTAATATTCTGGTACAAAATTTATAGATAGATATTCTGAATTATGCACTTGAAGTTGAAGGGTGACAATAATTTTGACCAGGACAGAAGTATTCCTGTCTGTTTAACATTCTTCATTAAATCATTCTCTGTACTCTGTTGAATTTCCTCTTACATGGAAGTTTCTCCCATTTCCACACAGGATCTGTGCAGCTCAGGCAGAGTGACCATCGGGTTCTTGGAAACATCTCAGAGATGATCAAGAGAAATGGAAAGCACCTGAGCTGAATTTCAGCTATCATAGCAAAGGGTCTGAATACTTATGTCACTTTGATATTTAATGTTTTGGTTTTAAAAAAATTTGACAGTAATTTCCTGAATAAATAGTAGTTGCATTCTTCTTTCTCATTCCACCATCATACAAAGCTGTGTATCTACCAAATCAATGATCTACCGTTTTTGTTTCCCATTTACTGTACGTTAAGACTCATTAGGTCTGTAAATAAGAATCTGCTGACTCAAGGTGACAGCTCATAAATAAATTCCTCTGACTGAATGAAAACAGAAAATACCAGCACATCCATTGTTGGAAAGTTGGTAACCATGGCTGCCATGTGATTGACACACAATCCCCTTCAGTGTTTATCAGTAACCATGTTTTGGCATGCTACTGAGTTAATTCTCAACCAGTGTTGCTTAGTGAGGTAATTACAAAAAGGACGACGACCGGCTGACAAAGGCGCGTAAAATAAAACCAACAGTCAGGTGCCCTAACTCAGGAGGAGGTCTCAAGGTTGCCATAGAGAACAAAGGCACCTGAGCCCAAAACACTCAAACAGGTTTTAAGGTTTTGACCAGTGTTTTAAGACTTTATACGCCTCTTGACTCCCATCAGCTGAACATCACACTGCACTCTGTAGATTTTGCCAAATCATGGGTTGTAACACGAGCCGAAGCACCACGGTGATGGATCCCTCTGAAAAGCCCGAGGAAAGGCCAAAGACAGCCACCTCCACCAAGGAGGCGCCTGCAGAGGAAACCAATGGAAAAACAGACAAAGACAAGGACGAAACAACAGAGAGTTCCAGCTGAGTGCCATCAACACCTCATCCCAAACTCTTCTCAAAGTAAGACCTATGATAAATTACATAAAAACAATTTGTTTTTACAAAAAAAAAATACTATTCACAATCTGTGAATCACAATCTGCATGAAAAATGTTTTCCAATTTTACTTCAATCAGTCGACTATGCCCTCTCGTTCTGTTTTCAAATCTATGAAACAAGGATATAGCACCTCCCCATAAAGCAAGCAATTTATGACCATCGCATTGGGGTCACTTTGATACAATCACCTCTATAACTTGACCGCTACGTCTCTCTGAGGCTATCTGACATGACAAATGGGTTGTGTGGTGACTGAGATGGGCTCTGTGTGTCTGTGTCGCAGTGTGTACAGATTGGCCTGTCCGGGGTGAAGGAGGGCCTGTCAGCAGGAGGAGGCGACGCTGCACTACTGTCCATCAACCTCTGGTCACTGGCAACCCCACACACACACACACACACACACACACACACACACACACACACACACACACACACACACACACACACACACACACAGCTCTTACGTTCATATTCGAGAAACTATTTTGTGATAAATATACAGATTGAAACACTGCATTGTGCTCTGTGTACCTGAGTTGCCTTTATATTCTTTTTTTAGCCCTCATTTAGATCTTTGCACAGCCCCCTGCGGCGTCCTTTGCATCGCCTTTGTTTGTTTTTCACAGCCGTTATATGTTCATTCTCCTCTCCTCCTCCTCTGAAGTGCTCACACACCTCTGGTCAGGGCTGATAGTTACAACACACTCTTTCAAACGCTTCCAATTCTGCTGCAGGCTAAAGCAGCAAGCCTTTAAGATAGTCAGCTTATGTTTCAGCTGTGGGTACCTCGCAGCTCTCCAACTAGATAGCATGCTCTGCATATCAGAGGACTGTTACTGCTGTTCATTTGGACAGTCGGAGACAGTGAGTGCTTTATACAGCGAATCATGAAATGCTGCCAAGGGTTGTGAAAATGTTCCAGCACTTTCCAGTCTTTTCCACCAGGGGGCATTGGCAGCCACCGACACAGTTCACTCTGCTGCCACCAGGGAGCAGAAGTGATCTTTCCACATTTGCTCTGAGACATCTGAGGCTGGCTCCATTTGCTGAAGACATTTAATCTGAAATATAGGTTGTAAGTTTATTACCAGCTAGTGAATGGAGCTGGAATGGAATAGCCATTTCACAAAGTATATCAAAAATACCCATCTCAGAGGCAGCGGGAAATTACATGAAAATATTACCATTATACAAATGGAAAGTGTGATTGAATAATGTGCTAGAGAAGATAAATGAAAAGCACTTTGTTGGAAAACGTGGTACTAAATAGGTTTTTAATTTCAGTAGTGGGATAAAAGAAGCGCATTTTTAGCCCATTTCACTGCCAATTGATCAGTGGTTCCACACCTGCAGATAGAGAGGGGGCCTTATCGTCTCATTATCATTTAATTAATATGCATGCACACATGCCAATTATCTTTCCTCTGCCATTTAGCAGAAATGAGACATTGATGTTTTAATGGTACCAGAATGGATAACTCCGCTGTTGCTTTAAAGACAAGGCAGGCACATTGATTGACATAGCCGGGAAATGTTAAGAGAGACAATTGAATTAAAAGCAACCTGAAACACTTGATTATTATATTAATACTTCTCAGCAGCTCAGCCATTTGCTGTCCTTTTGCAGGGACTGTAATCCTGTGATCTGGCAGAGTTTTTTGATTAACTCTCTTGTGCAAGATACAAAAAGGGCAAGGCTTATGGTGCAATATATGTATATATATATATATCTACCAATGAGAATCCATTATGGAAACATTTTATTTGAAGGACATGCAGAATAGCAAGCTATTAAATTTTTCCACTGTGCCACGACTATTAAAGGACCCAAGGCCACACCAAGTGAAGCAAACCCAGGATGAAAGTTATATTAATCATTATTCGGTTTACTGTACTGTGTGTGCTGAATTTATGTTCATGAGTCACAGGCCAGTGTTATGAGCCAGTGAAATAGGCAATATTATGGAAGGAAGCACTATTGACATTTTTCATTTGTGTATAAATGCTCCTGGTTGCACATAATGCCCAAGGCTGTTTTTTGAGCCCAATGCCACAATGCTATAATGTTAGAGTGATTCCGTATGATCAAAAAAAAAAAAAGATAGAGCTCTCCCAGCTACACCCAAACCTAGGATCTATGACTTTTCCACACACAAAACATCACAGAGGACAAACTTTGTGCCACTGGAGGCAGCTGCTCACAGGATTGTGCCCGAAAAAAGAGGGCAAACAGAAAATGAGAAGGGCAACTAAAAAAAACTCTCTGGGGTGTAATCTCCTTACTCAGTAATGGACCATTTATATGACATGTATAATGGGCTGCCACAAATATTCACAAGTAGTGGTCTTATTTTCAGCCAGCCTCTCTTTAAAGATGTGTTCTTCACAGGGTATCTTTTGTGAATATATGATCAGAGGCACGACAGCCCCGGTCT